CTGTCCAAGTTCGCCAAGGAAAGAATGGATTAGAGGATAAGCCCATAATTCCACAGAACACAATAAAGCCCACATACACCGACGCTTTAAGGGAGGGGAGTTATCTCCGTAGTCCTGTTGCAGATGCATGTGTATATGTGTGCGTGTATTGCATCCGGTGGTGGGTAAAAGAGGCGCGGCCAAGCCCAGCATGAGGCGACAAGCAAAGAGTCAAGCGGAATTCGTGAAGATAGGAAGTTGGCCCACAAAGAATCACTCAATATCTGGGGGAATTATCATTGCCATGCGTCTGTACACTGCCAAGGAGACAGCAGGACATGCCAGGTCGGCCACCAACGGAAAAAAAAGGGTAGTGGCAATCTACTTGTGCACCAACGGGGTGTCGACATCATTTTACAATGAAATCATGCACATTATTGTCGTCATCACGACAGCCCATGGCCCTAATGTGTTTCATGTAAAGATCTTTTTACTTCTATCTGTATCGTGTGAATCAGCAATGGCGACAAAGTGGAATCACTGCAGAGTTGCAACAGCCCCGCCCATGGAGGTTCATCCACCATATACGGACGAGCATCGTTCCCAAACATGACGTGGCAGCACAGCGTTCATTCCTCTCTGTTTCTCTCACCATTAACGATGTTCCTTCACTTAGAGACTCTTTTTTCCCCCATTTCTGCCCTCTCCTTCTCTCTGAGAGCACTCCTCCTTCACGCGCTTGATTTCTTCACTTAGATGACGGGCTGTTCGCCTTCGCATTTATAGTAGCGTATTTAGTTAACTGCTGGTAGATGTGCCCCGCCACTTCGCTGGCGACGCGTCCCTGTCAAAGCGGGCATACAACCACACAGGAGCGCCGCGACTGAGGTGGAGGGGGAACGACGGCACATGAGCGCCGTGACGGCGATGCAGCAGCGGTGGTGCGGCGAATGAGGAGCAGTTCTCCGCATTCCTCTACTCACCCGACCACTGTACTTCTTCGCGTGTCACTGGACGGGGTTCCATTCCACCCAAAAAGAAAAAAAAAGAACAAACAACGAGGCATAACAACATGTACAGAAGCCTCTACATGAAGTCGTCATCGAAGTCGTAGTCTTCGTTGTTGGCGGCGATGCGGTCCTCGTCATCGTCCTTCTTGTCCGTATCGCGCAACGCCATGAGGTCCAGCTTGTAGCGGAGAACACCGCCAATGCCGCCGAACCCACGCACGAACTGCGTGCCCTCCTGGCTACGGTTTGTGACAAGCTCCAGGGTGCAGCCGAACTTCTGGTAGTTGGTCGCGAGCCAGTCGACGAAGTTCTCCTTCTCGACTTCGTTCTGTGTTTTGCCGGCCTCGTGCGCCATGATACTCGCCTTTTCCGCCTCGGCATCTGTCATAATGTGAATGTCTGTCTCCTCCTCCGAGCTCCCGCGGTTCTTCACTACGGAGAAGCGGTTCATCTCCAGGTCCTCGTACACAATGAGCGTTTCCACCGCGCCCGCCTCCAGGCATTTCATCGTGTCATGCACACCGAAGCAGTACAGCTGTGTATCACAGGCAATCTGGTCAAAGAATCCCTGGAGCAGCTTCTTCTCCTGCACGAGTTTGACCCCCGTGAGGGCGTCCGCGGCGAGGTCTATGGCTTGGTTGAGGCCGACGTCGCCGGGGTGGGCCACGTCGACTACCTTCAGCACCACCGCCTTGAGGCGCGGGTCGAACAGGTCGGATTGGTACAGCACCTCCTTGAACTCCGCAGAGCCAGCAAGCACGAGGCCAACGACGTTCGGCCGGTCATTGGTGATAAAGAGCTGCGTCGCGCCCTCCGCCACCTTGCGCACGTAATTGTGGCGGCGCTCCTGGCGAATACGGGCAAAACGGTTTTTACTCTGACCACCACGGCCGTGCTTCTTGGGCAACTCCACAGTGAAGGAGCCCAGCTTCTCCTTCACACTTCCGCAGAGAGTGGCGTAGGTGGTACCGCTGCCATCTACTACAATAAATCCAAACTTCTCGTCAGACTCCAGCATGCGGCGGAGCTCCTCCGTGTGGAATTTGTTGTCGCACAAATAGAGACTGCGACTGACAGGCTTAAAGGGCTCAATGTCCAGCGTCAGCTTCTTCTCCTTGTTGTCTGCAGTGAGGACAGTGCCACAATAGAGGAGCAGGCCGTTGGGCGGGAGGCGATTGTACTGTTTCAGCCGCCCAAGAGACGCCGTAATGGCGCTCTGAACACTGAGCTTATTGGTGTGGGACTTGATGTTGGAGGCGGTACCGTACTCGTTGTTCAGCTTCGTCACCATGCCTGAGATCTGCTCCTTTGGTGTCATGTAGACGCTGATCACGCTTGTGCCCATGCCCCGGGCGGACTCAAGCATCTGGATGAGCTTCTTCACCTTGTAGCGCTCAATCGCCTTTTCCGAATCAGACAACTCGTGTTCAGCCATGGCTCTCCTTTTGCGTTGTGTACAGCTGGTTGACGCGAAGGAATAGGAGTAAGAGGAGGAGGAGGAGGAGGAGGGAGAGAGAAAGAGAGAAAGCGGGGCAGAGAAATTTATGTTGATGCATACACACACACACACA